TGGCATTATAGCAGCTTTAGACTGCTCTACACATGGATGACTTTTCATTTAAAACATCTACATTTGGGACCAGTGTATTTACTTTTCTAACTCTGTTTCCTTGAGGCTGGTCATAGCTTGGGATGATAGGTGGCAGGAGATGGCAGCTCTTTGGGGAGAGGGAGCCTGAGGTTCTACTAGAGCTGCAGACAGCCCTGGGAAAGCCGCATGTGGAACAGTCTATTTTTGTGGAACTGGCTCTTCATTTCCATTGCTTAGCCTCACATCTTTTACCTTGGCATGAATTCGAAACTTTGCCAAGTGGGTTACTGGACTACAGCTTCTGATGGCTTAGAAGTCTTTGACCCAATTTCCTGGTTGGATGTGCAAATGGTAGATGACAAATGTCCTCATTTCCTGTAACTAGAGCAAAATAATGAAAGAAAAAAAAACCACCAAGGGACAAAAGAGTATTTAAACACAAGAGGTAAAGTAAGGTGAAAAAAAGAGAACTAATAGACTTCAAGCTGACAGGCAGGAAATTTGGGGAAGAGGAGCTGGAATCTTGGAGTACGTTTTCTTTCAAATCTTCTCCATGCCTGCCTACTTCCACCTTCTCCAACCACAGTGATCACCCCCAAACCACACTGCATACAAACTCTCGTTGTGAGATGAGAATTTCTGAGGCAGGGGCATAGCAACATTTTTTCCGGAAAAGGGAAGTGAAATAGTCAATGGCAGCTTCCCCTTTACCTGCTGCTTGGGCCCCCAGGTCACACCAAGCCAGCTCCCTCCACCTCTGTTTCCTGGTAGCAGCTTTAGGCTGCTGTCTGTGTTATTCATTAACCAGGCACTAATATTTCTGTTTACCCATCTGTCATCCTGCTTCGAGGCAGGGCATTCAGACAAGCCTCACAATTGTACAGCCTCCCTGATGGTCTTGGATCAAGCCCAACCGGCCATATTTAGCTAGTGTTTATCATGTCCAAAGCCCTGTGCAAGAGCCTTGTAGTCCAGGAAAGATAAAGATTTCCCCAGGAGGGTGTGATCTGCCTGCCAAGTGGAGCATAGGAGCTAATTATTAGTATCTCTTGCCAAATCCATGTTCAGTGTCATAATAGAAATTAGCCCATGTTAGGGGGAGTGTATGTGCCATAAAAATTGGCCAGGGCCACAAAGAGGTCATTCTCTCCCCTCTCCCCTTCTGCCTCCCTACCCTACTTCCCCTACTACCAAGAGCTGGTCTTTAAACATTGTCCAGCATACCACTGGGAACATGCATTTACATAATAAATAAAAGATAACTTGTAAGGCCTCCTCCTGGCTATTAGATCCTTGGGTGACCAATACTAATGAAAAAGGAAATAGCCCCCTTCCAGGGAATTGCTCGCCTGATGGAACTCCTACACATCTGTGCAGTATTCTATGCTTCCTTACCTCTGTCTTGAACATTATCTCCTAACAACCATATCCCTTCAGTGGTAAGTGCAGCTGCCAGAGTGGACTTCTTAAAATGGAAATCAGACCTGGGGATGTAGGTCAGTAGTAAAGCATGTGCTTAGTATGTGAGAGGCCCTCAGTTTGATCCCCAGCATGGCAAGAAAAAAGATGGAAATTGGGTAATTCTACTCTCATTCTTTAAAACCTCGAAAGGCTTCCAGAACTTAAATGGCATCCAGAAACACTTCAAATTCAGTCAAACTCCTTTCTCTGACCTAAAGGGCTTTGTGTGGTCTGATCTTTGCTCTCCTTGGCCTTATTTCTTTTTTAAATTTTTATTTATTTATTTATTTATTTTTGGTACCAGGGATTGAACTCAGGACCTCGTGCTTGCAAGGCAGGTGTGGTGCCACTGAGCTAAATCCCTGACCCTTACAAGTTCAAGTTTGAAATCACTCTTCTAGCCCCACAGGCTCTCTCTGGCTTTGAGATGCTAAAGTTTTCTTTCAGGGTCTTTGTGCCCACAGTTCCTGAATTGATAAAGAAAACATATTTTATATATATACAATAGATTACTCTTCAGCCATTAAAAAGGTAAATTAAGGGAAATAAATCAGACAAAGAAGGTTAAATATCTCATGGTTTCTCCTATGCAAAATATAAATAATTTAAAGAGCAAAATAAAGATTGATGATAGGAAACATGGTTACAGGCTGTCAAGATGGGGAAAAATGGGAAGGAGAGGAGAGAAGAGGAAGTAAACATGATTAAGATGTGATATGTATATGTCCCCATTCCCCAAGATGGATGCAATTACTATGTACCATAAACATTCTTACAAAAAAGATTTTAAAAATAAAAATTAAAAAGACTGCTCCTCCCATGGGGCTTTATGCAGCAAAGGCCTTTCCTCGTCAGGACTCAGCCAAACATCACTGACTCTGGAAAGTCTTTAACCCTTCTCTGCCACCCATTCTACTGTCTCCTAAACTTTGTTTCTATTCCTTTGTAACTAGGTTCCATTTGCCAGTCTGGAATGACCTTGCTTGTGCATTTGTTTATTTGTTTCTTCACTATTTTCCCCTACCTGAATGGAGGCCCAACACAACAGGGCAGGTGTCTTTTGTACATTCGATATCTCCAGCCCCTAGGAAAGTGTCTGGCCTAACAAATGGCCCTTGACTTATAAAGGATCAACATAGGATTTTTGAACTTTAAGGTGGTGCAAAAGTCATTCAGTAGAACTGTACTTTGCATTGTGGATTTTGATCTTTCCCCGGGCTAGTGATATGCAATAAGATGTTCTCTTGCAATGCAGTAGCAATGAGCTGTAGCAGTCAGTGGCTTAGTCACAAGGAGAAACAATGGATACACTCTACAGTGCTCTGTGTCACCAAGCTATGGTGTTCAGTAGGCTAGGTGTGTTAAACAAATTTTGGACTTATGGTATTTTAAAGTTAGGATGGGTTTATTGGAACAAAATCCCATCATAAGTCAAGGAGCATCAACAGTAATCAATCCATATTTGTTGAACAAATAAATTACTAATTTCCCAATGAAGAAATGAGTTGATATATCAAGTGATCTTATGAAGGTTAAATTCTGGCGCGTCGCTCAAGTCTCACTCTGAAAGTCTCAGACTAGCTCTGGTGATTTCCTAAGAACCCCAGGAGGCCCCAAATGACTTCATTTTGCACTTTCCTGGTTAACAAGAGCAGCGGCATCCCTAAAGAACCTGAGAATCTCGGAGTTGGAAGAAGCTGGCCAGTTCACTCGCTTAGCCTTCATCAGATCTGTTTCCTCAGTGTCCTAGAATGAGTGGTTGCTAATTTCTGCTTGAATGTTCCTGGAAATTAGGGAGTGACTGCCTGGCTGGGGGAGCCAGTTCTGTTTAAACAGCCCCAGCTGTTTGAAAGATCTCTCCCTGTTGTGATCTTTGCTCTTTGCTATGGGGCTGCATAGAATACCTCTCTTGTAAAAAGGGCCTCACCACGTCCCAACCTGATAGCCACATAGCAGCATTCTCTTACTTCCTTCTCCTATACCAGTGGAAAAAAAGCAGGCATCTTGGAGTGGGAAGACCTAGATTTGGACACCCTCTTATCTATTGACCTTGGAAAATTAGAAAATTTCCTTAATCCTCTTTGGGTCCTTTTATTGCACAACGTCTGGCATTTAATGTGCTCTATTACTGTTGTTATATTGTTTGAAATCTCTAAAACATTTTGTTTAATTTTTCAGGGGTTTATTCCTTCTCTGAATTAGTGTCCTTCCTATACATGTGTCAGTACTGAGCATACAGTTTTCGTACATCCAAGTGGAGTAGTGTTATTAGCAACTTGTTTCTTTTAATGCCACCTAAATCAAATTAGGTTTTTAAGGAAGCTGTAATGCACCACAGACTCATAATAAGCTGAAATATTTCAGATTTTCTTCTCACATATTCTTCCTCAACCATCCTATAGTTAATTACCTAATACATTGTTTCAAGGATTTTTAATTTATTACTCATATTTCTTTGAAGTGAAGAAACCGTGTTTCACACAAATTGACATCTCTAGAACTAAATAATGCTCTACAATTTCTCAGCAATTTTGTATCTAGAATCGTGTGTGTGTGTGTGTGTGTGTGTGTGTGTATGTGGTTGTGCACGTGTGCCAAGGATAGAACTCAGAATCACACTTCACTCCTTGGAATATTCCTGGGAGATGTACCTTATCTTTATTATGATGACTCAGAAAGCCTAGACTTGATAGTAAGATGCTCCAGTGCTGAAGTCAGAGCTCAGAGGGTGCTGGTCCAGACTTCCTTCGAAGAAGGAAACCAGAAAACAAGCTTTTGGGTGGGTGGGAGTAATAAAAAAAGGCTTTTTGGGAAAAGTTAATATTGAGTGGGGTTTTGGAAGAGGGGTCAAAACAAGTGATCAAAAAGTGGGGAGTATGGGATGCAGATGAAGGGGGAGGAAAATGCATGGAAAGTCTCTCTGAAGAATAATTTCTTGGACAGATTGGGCTCCTGAGACTCAATCACTTAGTGAGTTTCACCTGCAGGGCCCCAGATCCTGTCAGTAGGGCGGAGGTGGCTCTCTGTATTATTTTCACATCTCTACATGTAGTTGTAATGTGTAGCTTGAGCTGCAACCCACAAGGCTGGAGGCTGGAGAGTTAGTTAATTCAATGAAGGGTCCTATTGTGGAGAAATGAGTCAGGAGGTAGGATTAGGAAGGGAGAAGGCACAAAACAGGCAAAGGGATGATAAATTATGGGAGGAGAAATTTTGATGACAGGGAACTTTGGGCTTCTGAGCAGGAGGGAATTTGTTTTAAGCCCTTGGAATAGATGGGTAGCTCTGAGTAGGGAATCACTTGCATCCTCTAAGTCCAGGCTTCCCTCATCCTCAATCTAATAAGATTCCACCAGTGTCCTCGTTTGTGTCCGCTCCATTACATTTCCACCTGAAAAGGTTTCTGTGGTTTCCACTGCATCACTTTCTCCCTCCAGCTGCTCCAGCTGCTTCTCCGTCCTGTGTTTGTCCCCTCCACCCCAACTTGCAGAAGTGTTACAAAAATCATGGACACTCACTTCACAGTTTCATCATCTTTATTTTTGATCTGTCAGAACAGATTGTTTTTTCCTGTGCTAATCAGTGTCAATCTCAGAATGATGGGTGCCAAGCCACCTGCTGACCTGGGGTAACAGGGAGGATGAAGGAACCCAGAGCACATGCAGCTCTGAGTTTAATGGAGCAGACATGATAATGTGAAAATAAATGAAGCACACATACAAAACAATGGGTCAAACTGATACAGTGAACCCTGAATCAGTAGAGATCTAAGTCCTTCTAGTCCCCTTAGTTCAGCACCTTTTGGAGACTTCTTTGCCTTCATTTAGTATTTCTCTTCCATGTCTTTCCCATTGGCTTCTTTCCAGCACCAACAGCCAGACCAGTGTCTAGATGCTGTTTTTAAGCTTGTGGCAAGACTGCTTTAGGACTCTGCTTCCACCAGATCTTTCCCTGCCACCAGCTTCCTCACAAAGACTGAATTCGTATTAGCTACCTTGCTTCCAACACCCTGGCTAGACAGCGCTTCCAGGCCTCACCATTTCTCCTCATATCACTGAGCTATGTTCACTTGGGAAGGAAAATTCAGACAGGCAGGGATACCAAGCTAGCAAGAGAGGTTTTTACAAAGTCCCAGTCATAGTTTGGGCTGGAGGATTCCTGCATCTGGGAGCTTCCCGGCTCCCTGGCTGCTCAACTCCCATGGGGCCCAGAGCACCGACCCGCCCCCCAAGTCGCAGGAAATCGCTAGTCTGTGATTAAGTCCGAACTTGGCCTTCTCTCTGTTTGACTCATGCCCCTGTTCCCACTTGCAGCCACCTCTGCCGTCTCTTTCGCTCTGCACCCCAGCAGGGAGGAGCCCTGAATGCGCAGCAGCTGCAGCCCTTCCCCAAAAGTTCTGCGCACCACCGAAGAAGAGAAGTAGAACAGCAGCGGGTCCAGGGTGGCGTTGAGAGAACAGAACACCACAGCCTCCTCTCGCCACTGGGGGCTTTGCCTTAAGATAAACCCCACCATGTGTGACAGGTTGTAAGGTCCGAAGCACAGCAGGAAGTTGAGCAGGGTCACAACAGCCAGTCCCACAGCTCGGCGCCTCCTTTGGGCCCCTACGTGGGGCTGGGTGAGCATAATCCACACGAAGCGCCAGTAGCAGAAGATGGTGACCACCATGGGGATGAAGAAGAGCACCAGACACAGCTCCAGCCGCACGGGCAGCACCAAGTCTAGCTGCTCTTGGGTGAAGTTCTGATAGCAGGTGCCTTCAGTCCCATCTCTCACCTGCTCAGTTGAGTTCAAGTACTGAACAACGATCACTATGGTGCAGTGACCGAAGGACATGATCCAGGCGACCAGAGCAGCGATCACGCCATATACAGGCCGCCGAGAGAGCTTGTACTGCACGGGGAAGGCCACTCCCAGGTAGCGCTCAATGCTGATGCCCGCCAGGAGCCACGTGCTGCAGTAGATGCTGCTATAGAAGCCAAAACCAGTAAGGGCGCAGACAATCTGAGGCAGATACCAGCGGAAGTTGGATGCAGCCTCGATGATCCTAAAGGGCAGGAGCAGCAGCAGCAGGAGGTCAGCCAGTGTCAGGCTGAGCAGAAGGATGTGCACAGGTGCAGGCTGGGGCTGGCGGACCCGCCCCACAAAGGCCCGCAGGGCCAGGAGGTTGGCAGGGAGGCCCGTGAGGAAGATGAAGATGTAGGCTGTGAGGATCAAGGAACTGTGCCAGTCAAGCGTCATTCTGGAGGAGGATGGAAAAGTGCAGAATCAGGAGGCCCCACTCACAGCCTGCACAGTCCTCTTCTGGTTCAGGATGCAGACATCCTCCCTGGCAAGCTCCCCTTCTCCCCAGGCCCAAGGTTTCTGCTGCCACCACTGCTTGCTCACACCACCTGCCTGAACTGCCCAGAGCAATTATTGACTTTACCTTGGGCGGGATATTAAGCAGCAGTTATTACGTTTGCCATCCTGCGTCTCTGGGGGAGACCAACCCTTGGCTCCCCAAGGGAATTCCCCCTCCAGTTTCCCCGGCCTTTCTCCTACTGGCCTCCCAGGTACAGGAAGTTACTGTTAGCAGTTTCCATCTTGACCCCGAGGGAGGTGAAGGCATCACAGCCAGGAGAGGCCTGTAAGGTGTGTCTCAGGGTAAGGAGGCCGTGAGAGCCCAGGCACTGTGGACCCTGGGCTGGGTGTCCCAGCGCCCCCAGCCTACCTCCCTACCCTTCAGTCCTCTCCTTTTGCAGAACACAATTTTCCTCCACCTTATTTGTTCCTGTCCAATTACTCGGGGTTCTATTGAAAAGGGGAATCTGAGGCAGCATGAGAGGAATGTGAACTAGCATATGCTTTGGGGCTTGCCCCCCAAAGACTGTAAAGACTTCAGAAAAGCCCACAGGCCCCAACTGAGCTTGGTGCTTTGCCTATAAATAGAAGAACTCTAGTTCTTCCTGGGGTGACTCAGTTTCCACTGGGTTGGTAATCCTTGCTGCCTAACACAGTTTTGCCCTCCGTCCTCTCTGGATTCCCCAGTCTGAGGTTCCTTGCCCCGGGCACACAGGATAGCTCCCGCCTCTGGGTCTGACCTTCATGCTTCAGTTTCTCCAGCACAGCCTCCCGACGCCTTCCCATCAATGTTTGATCCTGCCAGTTGGGTCCCATAAGGATTCAGTTAGCCATCTTGCCTTGTCTTTGTTCCTGTTAGATGGCTTCTTGGGGTTAGTCCTGAAGGAAAGTCTGGAAGCCTCGGAAAGAGGAACAGCACTTTAGCTACTGCTGCTGCCCGTTTCATACAGGAAAGTATTGCAAGGGACCTGGCTGGTGGAAAGGTTTTATACCCCGGGGGCCACGTGACCAGAGAAAAGAAGCACTGTTTCCTCCCAAACCCACAGTATAGGGCCTCTGCATCTCCTTTCTCTCCCGGGAGAGCCTCTCTCCGACTTCCAAACATAGATTTTTCTGTCCTGATTTCCTGTTTGTTTTTCATTTTAACCCCAGGCATTTTTTTTTCCAAGTCCCAAGTCAAATTCTCTTTGCTTTACTAGGCAATTGCTTCTGTCAGGGCCTAGAACGTCAATTTCTTTATCAGAAAAGAAGTTTCCTGCTTCCTTTTATTCTTTAATTTTCTCCTTTCTGTATGTATGGTCTACTGCCCACCACCCTAACAATTTTCCTGTCCCTCTCACATGAAACAGATTGGTTCCAGGATTCTAGCTTCTGTTTTATTATGGTAGAAATAGCATGGGATTTAAGGCCATGCAGATACCGGCTCAGTTCCAAGTCCTTTTATTAAGGTTTTGGGGCAGATCAATTTTCTGAACTTTTGTTTCCTTTTCTGTCGAGTAAGCATGGAAATATTAACCTCACAGGATTTCTGAAAGGACCCGATGAGATACAAAGCACTTGGTCCAGGGCTTAGCATTTAGTGGATGTCCTGGTTTGTCCTACTCTCAAGCCTGTTGAGCAGATTCATAAACCATGAGCCACTTGGTAAAATACATGGTGGCTTGGGGCCAGGGATTTAGCTTGGCAGTTTTGTCGCCTGCTGCGCAAGCGCAAGGACCGGAGTTCGATCCCCGGTACCAAAAAAAAATGTCATATATATATATAGAGGCTCGGGTGTGCCATTTAACTGGGATAGTGTTAGTAATCCAGGAGACTCAAGTTCAGGTGCCTGTATAGCTCCTCACAGGGGTGTGGCACTCAACACTGGTCCTTTTCCTCTTATATTCCCCTGAACTACTCCTGTCCTTTTTCTCTCTTTTCCCCTCTTTGATCTGCTTAGAGCACCAGGTTAGAAGCCTCTGAGTCCTTTTGCAATACACACCCAAGAAAGCCATGGGTGGTGGCACACACCTGTAATCCCAGCACTCAGGAGGCCGAGGCAGGAGGATTGCTGTGAGTTTGACACCAGCCTGGGCTACATAGTGAGGCCAGCCTGAACTACACAGGGAGACTCTGTCTCAAAAAAACAAACAGGCAATATATACCTAAGGAAACAAGGACAATCACAATATGGTTCTCTCTTTGTTATTTTTGAGGTGCCGGGATGAAATCTAGGGCTCCATGCCTGCAAGTCAAGCCCTCTACCACTGAATCACATCCCCAGACCCACATTTTCCTCCTGACCTAAAAAATAGGTGGTTCTTTTGCCATCTGGGGCCTGATCCCTCCTTACAGAATCTCCATTCTTTCTCTAGGATATATTGATTCCCTATTGATTTCTCATTCATTCATTCCATTATTCTTTTTGTGGCCTAGGACCCTTTTTGTGGGTTCAGACACCTTGATGTTTAGCTTTCATTCTCTTCAGCTCTGCTCTTTTCTAGAACTAAGGGGTTTCACTTCTTGTATTTCCTTTTCTCAACACACATAGGTGCTTTCCAGATCAACAGGGAATTAGATACTTTTTTTTTTTGGTACAGGGGATTGAACTCAGGACCTTGGGCAGTGCCCCTGAGCTAAATCCCCAGCCCCAAACAGGGGAATTAGACCATTCTGTTGTTTACTACCAAATGTACTTGTGTCATTTTGCTTTTATGATTTTCTATAAATGTTTATGAGGATCTGGATTTAAACACAAACAGATGCTTACTGGAAAATGAGTGTTGAGGAGGAGGAGCTGTCTACTGGTCCTCCCCCTCCCCCACCAAGCCCCATGCCTTCCTTTGTCATAGTAGTGTGTGGTTATGTGGAAGAAGTCACTCTGCCATGTTCACATTAGCTACAAAGGTGTATATTGCAGAAGGACTCGGGAGCTTCTAACCTGATGCTCTAAGCAGATCAGAGAGGGGAAAAGAGAGAAAAAGGAACATAACAAAGGAAACCTGAACTCATGACTCAAGATCCCCATCTATGTCACAGGAAAAGGAAATGCAGCCTCTCAGGCTGAATTCAATAAGATTTCACAACAGTCTTGCAATGTCTTCCAAGTTCAATTTCTTTTTATTGTCATTACGGCTTGGCCTATTACTATAATGGGAAATTGGACTGATTAAAGTTCTGTAGAATCATATTCTCCACGTCCTTATTTCTCAGTCACGCTCAATCTGCTGTAATCTGGGTGCTGGCCCCAGCTTTCCATAGGCTCTTCTCTTCCTAAGGTCAGCAGTGACTTCTATGTGACTAAATCCAGTGGACATTTTTTTCTTATTCAACTAGCATATAATATAATTTCTTGAAACATCCTCTTTCCATGAATTCTGGTACATTGTGCCTTTCCGGTTTTCCTCCCTTTCCTTTGGTCACTTTTTAATTCCTTTACTAGCTCACCCTTACCTACTCATCCCCTAAATGTTAGAGTTTCTTAAAACCTAGTTCTGAGCCCAATTTCTTGGTGCACACCTGTAATCCCAGCTACCTAGGAGGCTGAGCAGGAGGACTGTAAGTTTGGGGCCAGTCTGGGCAACTTAGTGAGACTTTGTCTCAAATGAAAATTTTTTGTAGAAAAGGACTGGGGCTGGGAATGCTGGGAATATGGCTCAGTGGCAGACCAGGCACAGGCCCTGGGTTCAATCCTCAGTATGGCAACAACAACAACTATAAACTTGATTCTAGCTTTTCTCCTGATTCCACCCTCTGCACTTGTCCTAGCTGATTGGATGAACATGACATATCTCTCCACTTATTTAAGTCTTTAATTTCCTTCAGCAGTGCTGCCTAGTTTTTATCCCAGAGGTTTTGTATGTCTTTTCTTAAGTTGATTCTGAAGTATTTTGGAAGTGATTGCAAATTTAATTTTTTTAAATTTTATTTTCCCACCATTTGCTGTTCTCATTAACTTCTCTGTCTATTCCTTCCTTGCAGATAGCTTAGTTTATCATAATACATTTTTTTGCAGTGGGGATTTGTATTAATAGGACATGAAGTCCAGCTCCCCTTATGATAGTCCATTAAGGCAGGGAGCTTGGCCCTTTTGCTCACCACTGTATCCCCAGGGCCTGGCCCAGAGCCTGACATGTTTTAGGCACTCGATAACAATTTCCTGGATGATGAACAGATGGCTAAATGGAAGAATTAGAAGGGGGGAGAAGACAGTTTCCAAAACCTCACAGCTATTTGTCCTTAGATGCTTCATTTATCTTCTTCTAGGAGTTGATAAGAAATTCCAGCCAATAACCACTTGAGAACTTTTGTGGATTGAAGCATCCCCCCCAAAAAAGCCATGGGTCTATCTCCATGGTCAGTATTGATAATTCAGGTGAATATATATTTATTATATAGATTCTCTTTGCTAAATAATGGGAAACACTAAATCTTCTGGAAGATAGAATATGTAGAACTCTTGAAGACATTAGTGTAGGCAAAGACTTTACAAAAAAACCCCAAACACACAGGAATTATCACAAAAAATCAATAATTTGGATCTCTTCTTATTAAAAAGCTTTTGCACAGCAAGAGAAACCATCAACAGAGTGAAGCAACAACCCACAGTGTGGGAAAAATTTTTTCCAGCTGTTCCTCAGACAAAACACTGCTATCTAGGGCCAGGGATTTAGCTCAGTGGTTTCACCACCAGCTGCGCAAGCGCAAGGACCTGAGTTCGATTCCCCGTACCAAAAAAAAAAAAAAAAGACTACTATCTAGAATATATAAAGAACTCAACAAATCAGACTCCCCCAAATTTGAAGACCCAATCCAAAAATGGGCATCAGAAATGGATACTTCTCAGATGAAGAAGTAGAAACAGCAAATAAATATACGAAAAAATGCTCAACATCACTGGTCATTTGAGAGATGCAAATTAAAACAATGCTGAGACCCCATCTCAGTCCAGAAAGAATGGCTGCTATCAAGAAATCAACCAACAACAAATGCTGGTGCAGCTGTGGAGGAGAAAGAAACCCTTCTCCCTGTTGGTGGGAGTACAGACTGGTGCAACCACTGTGGAAATCAGTGTGGAGATTCCTCAAAAAACTCAAACTAGAGACCCCATTTGACCCAGCTATTCCCCTTCTTGGTATCTTCCCAAAATAATTAAAAGAATCATACCACAGTGATATATGTGCACCCATGTTTATAGCTGCACAGTTTGTAATAGCTAAAGCTTGGAAGCAGCCCAAATGCCCAACAATCAATGAATGTGGTTTTAAAAACATAAAATGGAGTGCTACTCAGCCATAAAGAAAGATGAACTCAAGCCCAGCATAGTGGTACATGCCTATAATCCCAGTATTCGGGAGGCTGCGGCAGAAAGAGTGCCATGGGTTCAAGGCCAGTCTGGGCTCCATAGTGAGTTCAAAGCCATCCTGAGCTACGTAGTGAGACCCTGTCTCAAATAAAAAAAAAACTTGACTCTTTTATAGCTAAATGGATGCACCGTGAAACCATAATCTTAAGTGAAATAAATTGGACACACGTGTAAATACTGCATCGTCTCTCTGGTGTGAGAAACTGAAGGTGTAAATGGCTATGAAAATGTATAATAAATATTGTGAAAGAGGAAGAAAATGTGTAAATGGATAGGGGAACTAGAGAAGGGGTAGGTGAAAGAAAGGAAGGGAAAAGAAAAGAAAATGAGAAAAGAAGGAAAAAATGGAAGCAAAACTTTTGTAAATAAGGAGGGGAAGAGGGGTTGAAGGGAGGCTAGGGGAATGGGAAAAACATGAGAATCAAGATATATCCTATACAAACACAAATTCCCTATTATGAATGTGATCATTATGTATAACTAAAATGTACAATAAACTTAATTAATCAGGCAAAATAAACAATGGGAAGGTAAAAATAGAAGACAT